CGCGATGTGCGTCGAGCGCGAATTTCGCTCGTCGTTTTTCGAACGAGGGGGATCTCCGGCGGATAATATCCGGCGCAAACGGCGAAGTAACGAGCTTAATCCACCGTGGCGACGATAAACTATCGGCTCGATCCACGGCGCAAGAAGACCCGCCTACCCCTTCTTGCGCGGCAACCTTTTGCCACGGCTTTCCCGTTGGTCCTGCTCCCTTTCACCACCTATACACGGATGGCACGAGCGAATCGTCTCATTAGCCAAGGCCTTATATGGCGTTCAATTAAGATTTTTGCCGGTGGGTAAGGTAAGGTAAATCCGGATAATGAACACGACGGCGAGATTCTGCGGAAGGCAGAGAGACTTTATGGGTGCACGGAGAAAGTTAGCTTAGTGCACAGCCCGGTCGCCGTTTTCCTTTTTTTTTTTCTTTTTCTACCACCGACCGATTTTGTAACGACGTTCAAACGCTCTTACGTGAGACGCTCTCTCGAACAAAGAAACACAATTTGTGAACAATAAATCTCATTTTCTTTTGATAAGATGCAATACGTATACCGAAATATATGCGTGTATAATTTATTTTATATCTCGGCTAATTAAAATAAATTAGTCGTACCTGCGCATGTAATGATTTTTAACAGCCACATTTCCAAAACAAAACGGTCAATAATTTCGAAATCCTTTGTATATAACGTCTCTATATGAATCCTTCATATCACTGCGGTTTTTCATTAAATCCTACGTGCGATTTAGGAGAGACTGAAAGTAGAAGTTAAAAACATTAACCTCAATGTGTATAAAAAGCGTCACCTTCAGTTACGAATATCTCTGTTTCCTGATGGTTTATCATTGTCCAACCTTACGGACGTGTTGATTTACTTCGATGTGAAGGGAAGGAAATTCTTTCGACGGACCGATTATGAAACGGACTGTAAGAACGACGAAATAAAAAAGGAGCGATAAACAGAAATTGCAATTAAAAGAACTAATGCGTAAGTTTGCATTCTTATGAAAGAGGAGCGATATAAAACCCTCGGAGTGAGAGGAAACACCTACGTATAGACATTTTCACTCCGCCTTCTCGCGTTCGCCATCTGTCTATCCCGGAATCCACGGAACGGACGCGATAAATGGCCGGGTCGCGAATGACAGCCTGCGCGATTATCCACGGTCGCGCAATCTCGTCATCAAGTGCGCCCGTTGTAATTGACGTTTCATCTCGCAAGTACTCGTCCGAGAGTATTCACGGTCTGTCCTCTCCACGCGACTCGCAATCCCGTGATTTCCCGTGTCTCCGTGTCTCGCGGGCTCGCATTAAGCCCGGGAACCATGACCAGCTTAAACCTCTCCCGTTCTCAATGTCTCGTGGCGGTAATCTCAAGACGAAGTTTATCTTGCCTCGGCGAGCTACCACGGCTGCCGCACAATGGAATACGCTATCCGTGTGTTACGCTCGGTAGATTAAAAACATTAACTAAATTTATCGCGAGTTCTCGCCAGCGCCGAGGCTGCACGCGATCCCCGTCTCGCTCGTGAGGAACAATACGAGGACGCCTGATGTCTCCGGCGATTCGAAGAGATCGCCCAGTGTGCGTGCGCGAAAGTGAAAACAATCATCTTTCCGCTTTCTCCCTCTCCTCTCTCTCTCTCTCGCCCTCGACGTTCTTGGGAAAATCGATACACCTGGAGAAATCGCGCGCGCACCGAGCATATTCGTCAGATAAACGCCGAAGAACGTACCGGGACGCGCGCAATTTCGGCATACCACTTTCGAATCACCCCGTGTACATGGCCGCGGTGGAAAAGCAATTGGCGCGTTTGATCTATCGTCTCTCCCGCTCGCTGTCAGCCTCCTCACCAATCCCAAACTGTCGATTGCCATTCCTACCCTCGGCGCGCCGTGCCGTTTCCGCCATTACATATATATATATATATATATATATATATATATATATATCCCGAGCGATTTATTGACTTAGGTACTAATATGTAGGTACACTTAGGTAGTACATGTAGGTACCACGTCGGCAGACGTCGCAGCTTCTCGATCTACTCCGACGCACTCCGGGTTCTAACGCGATGGGAGACCGGGACGGGAGGGGGTAGGAGGCAAGCGGAAGCACTGCGATCTGTCCTCATCTCTCTCTCTCTCTTTCTCTTCGACGCAACGACTGAAACAGATACCGACTAACGGGTACGAAGATGGAAACCGACGGAGAACATTTACCCTTGCTCGCTCGTTGGATACCCCGACATATTACGAATTATGCGTTATTGCGTCATTCGTCAGGAAATTCCATTTTATCGCGCGTTTCTCAGCTAAGAAAGAGAGAGATTGTGATAGGAGAGAGAAGAGGGGGAGAAGAAGCTTGCATTTATGCGGAAGTCCGCCATCGATCATCGGCGGATCGCCTTAGCTTCGACCGTTCTAATTTCGCGCGTTCGACTCGAGCGCTCGATCTAATTAGCGGACTGAAAGAAGCACGTTGTGTTAATCGGCTCTCGAACCGCGGAAGCTGTAAAGTCGCGGTCTTCCGCGTAGGTTAACGCGCGTCTCTGCTTTATTTCGATCGTATAATCGAAGAGAGTTCACCGGCCTTTCACAGATCTCGCGCGAAGTTCTCCGTACTATGGAAATCTGTGCGAATGTAAGCTCCGTCGAAGAGGAAAGGAGAGCGAAATAAAGATTAAAGGCGACCTGGTAGTTCTAACCAAGAACACTCGCTGTGCGCGGCACTATATTCTATCGTGTGACACTGAGGCGGGAATGATATGTAATGAAGAAAATTCCTAACCGTAAAATTCAAACGAGATACAGACGATTTTCCACGACGTAATGTATGCGCACTCAGAGAAAAAGATTTTTCTTTCGATTTAACACACGTGTTTGCTTGACTTGGGTTTATGTTGTTTAGTAAAAAAAAAAAATAGTATTATTTAAAGAAAATATTTGGTTTACAATTTAAAAAATTTCTTTCATTATGTATTAAATGCTGTTCCATTGAAATATACGTCGAACACAACGAAAGGATTAAGGAAGATGTAAGATGCATTAAGAAGAAAATTGATAAACGACAAAATTATTAAGTGAGGGAAACATTTCCTCGTGATTTACCGTGCTACCCTCCTCTCCCTCCCACCTTCCTCTCTCTCTCTCTCTCTATCTTTGCTTGTCTCTCTTTCTTCCTCTTCTCCGCAGGTCGAAATCTCACGAAAGTACGAACGAGCGATAGTTAGTCGCCGAAGTTTGAATATTCATAGAAGGGGGATTGTCGGGGCGCGCGCGCGCCGTCTCTCCGGTGGGGGTTTATATTCATGAAAAATCTGAAAAGCTTCGTTGGGCATTACGCAATTTTAATACGTCGCTCGCCTCGCGAAGAACGAACGATGACTCGAACGAACGAACGAACGAGCGAGCGAACGGTGAATCCTCTCCTTCTCCCCTCCTCCCCCTCCCTTTCTTCGTTACATCTCGCCGACTTTGCTTCGTAAATCCGTGTTACAAATTGTGCGAGAGCGTGGTATTAAACGTCGCTTCGGAATCCGCGCGCTACCTCTGTATTAGCATTTCACAGAACAGACACGGGCTGCGCTATTTAGCGTGCGACGTTCTACGAGAGTGTGTAAAGAGAAGGGGGGAGGGGGATATTTATATTTCGGGACACAGAATGATTCGGATTGTGTATGTATGCGCGACGAGAAGGGACTGCGCGGGAACAACGCGTATGAAAATACGCCGGGAATAAATATCGTTACGCGTAACGCGCGAAGATTCCTCGTGGAAACGGGATGGACGTGACGGATTTCGCCCGACGGCTGTATATACACCCACGTTTGTGAGAAAAGCGAGCGCTGAAAAATCGCTTCTCGCTACAACATCCCGAGAAATTATATTTTCGACGCATTCGGCTCGCATTTTATCGAAAGGCGCTCCTACACGGGGAAAAAAAACAATTCCGTTGGTGTAACTGAATTTTCCGCAGCCTGCGGGTCAGACGAAAACTCGATGTTACACCGAGAAAAATATCGTTCTACCGCGAAGAAAAGCGATTACACTCGCGGTTTACTCGTCTTCTTCTAAGTAACAGTTATCCCCAACAAGGAACGTCTTCCTGATAACAGTCTAAAAGTATACTCATCTCAAATTAGAAAAGCTCGTTACCACGTACTGACAAAAAAGGAATTCTACTCAAAAGTATTGTAAATATTATATATATGATGTCCCAGATCAAGATGGACAAATTTCATGAGGACGTCGGACGGTTCGAGGTGAACGAAAAAGTCTTGTACCATTATTGCAAACAACGTGCAAAATTTCGAGTTATTAATTATTGAAAGTGGCCGTGTGCAAAGGCCTTTTCAATTAATAACTCGAAAATTTCCATGTTATTTGCAAAATGGTACAGAACTTTCTTGTTCATCTCAATCCGTTCTACGCCCTTGCAAAGTTTGTCCATGTTGATCTGGGACACCCTATATATATTACCTTTATGGAAGAAAGATGAAATTCAGTTAATTTGAATAAGTAAACCGAAGTTTGCTTTAATTCAATATAATCGATTGAAATACTAAACTTGCTAGGATTCAGAATATATTTTGAATAAATACGATGCTGTGATGAACTTGCGATATGACATATTTGCGGATATGTAAGCCTGTGTGAAACACACTTAAAACAAATAACATCCGCTTTTATCCGTCCGCGAGCGGCGTAGTGTTAATTATCAGACACCCTGCCGAATCGATAGTGCCATGAGATTGCTTTTGTATTATTAATCAGACATTATAATATAACATATATAACAGTCGATTCAAACGATAAATTAGTTTAGAAAAAAAAAACAACAATGTATCGAATAACACGTACGTTCTTATGTCAAATAACACGGTTTGATTAAACGAAACGACGAAATGCTCGGATACAAATTCTTGAACACAAGTAACACGTGTTGTTTCAACCGGTCCTAATTTCTCCCGTTCTGGTTTGTTTTTCTCTTTGCCAGTACGTCTTCGTGGTGATGGCGGTGCTGGTCCTGGAGGCCGGAGTCGGTGCTTTGGCGCGCCTCTATGAGGAACAGGTCGGTCCTGAATTGAAGATGAATCTAAACCGCACCTTCCTCGAGAACTATGCCGTGCGGTTCAGGGAGACCACAGCGATTGACCAAATGCAGAAAGAAGTAAGTGCTCCGGCGGAACCTTTTCTATCCATTTCTCAAGCGAACGACGCGGCCATAGCGTACACACACGATCGAACGAGCAGGCGCTATCGGCCATTCGTCGGCCGAATGAAACGCGCTGAAAGTTCTTACAGGGGAGGTTTACGCAAGGGATAGATTGCCCGTACGTTTCGTCTATGTATTTATTACGAAAGGAACTTTGGAGAAGAAACTCCTCCCCCCTCCCTCTCCAAACTGTTCCTCTTAAGTGATATCCTCACGTGCCTAAGGTGATTCACGTTTCAATGCTTCAAAAGTGCACGAAAGTGCAGGGAGAAAAATTCACGTGAACGGTATATGTTCGTTTCTTTTCTAAAATGACTTGGAAAATCAACTCGTGAAATATTGGACGGTACTTAAGAACCACCTTGTATGGTTATTTACCTGCTACGACGGTGAAACAAATTTGCCGCTCCGAATCATCTTTCCCCGTGGACGCTGACGCGTTTATCCGGCATCGAGTATTCATCGCAAACACTCGGCGCAGCCGGCGGGCAATTCAATCGTGATTGGAAGATAAGAAGATCCGGTCCAAGGAACCGGATGGACCCTGATAACAGATTTCGGGGGGAAAATTCCCGGATTGCCGACGGGAACGAGATATGTCCGATCGCTCGTCATAATTCCGTCGAGAGTATCCCCTCGTTCCTCGCGCATTTGCGGCGATGGTGTGTTCCGTGCGACACTCGGTATATGTCTTGGCGCGTTTTTCCGATCGAAAGTAAACCGCAGCAGCGCACGCCCGCGTCAGCTCGAGGTTACTCGACGTTAATTTACGAATGCACCAGTCAAAACGTCTCGGCGGTGGCTTTTGTGCTCGCACGATATCACCTGGCAGCACTTTTATTTATATCCTCGGCACGGCGATGGCACTCTCTCTCTTACGAGGACCTTACAGCGGTAAATCATCGTTATCGCATCGCGGAACAGTTTCCGCCCATTCGCTATAAATCGATTAGCGCGCCGTGGTGAATACGCGACACGGAAAACTTCGCATTTTTCCTCGCGCGCGCGCGCGCGCAACGTCTTCCTCCCGTCGCCGATGACTCCGCTGAAAAATCGTCCGACATGACGGCGCGTTATCGTACGGCCTGTTCCTGTTGTTCCACGAATGTAGAATTCGGATAATATAATCCGATGTTACTCGATTTCTGTAGATCTATCATCTTCTCCACTGACCGTCGCTCGATTGGTCAAGCAAAACTTTTGACGAGTCTCGAGAAAGTTATTATTTTTACTCTTAGATTCAATCACATTGACTTGTGTGTTGCACACGAATTGTAAAAATTCACGTCAAGGTATGTTACTGTGTGCCCCGTTTACGAAATGCGTGCCTGGCGAGGCGCAGCAAGTCGCGCGGTTGGCAATGTGTTAAGCGAGATACAAGCTTTGCAACAATTTATCCGTGCAACTTCTAACCCCGGTCCTCTCCCCTGCCGTCCATAGAGCCACTTTGCATTCCAGTACAGCTACATCTTGATTCAGATCGGGCTTGTAAGCACGCGTGATGCGATTTACAGCGCTGATAATGGACCAAAAGCTATTGCGCAAGTCTCCCCTCTCTCTCTCTCTCTCTCGCACCGCACAAGTTGCCCTGATAAATGGAGACGCGCAAATTTCACCCTTCCGCCGGATCCTCCTATTGGCCATTCGAGGATTTTCGTTTCCATTTCTTCGCGTCGGCAGGCAGGCAAGCAAGGCACTCTCACGACGTAAACCACTTCTCTTACCTCCATAGCGTCCCATCCCCCTTTTCCGCCCGCCAAAATCGGTGAGACCGTCCGCCAAGCGAGAAATTCGGGCTCCGCATTTTATTTATTTTATTTATACACGGCAGGATCTACGTGTACAAGCATTTCATTCCGTTCGGGAAATCGGGTTTTACCGCGACAGCGCGCTCGTCGGGGATTTTTGAGGTTGACGTTTCCCGCCGACGGAAATAAATATCTCGCGCGCTCGTCGTATGTACTTACGCTGCCAGTGTCGGTGAACGCACTCGAAGTGAGTCTATCGATCTCCCTTGCTCGGTATGGTTTTGGCGCGATATGCTGATTATCGAGCGACAGACGGGGGGAAAGACGGATGTCTGCGCTCGTCGCCCTCGATTTTCCCCTCTCGCAAGTTTCCGCCTATTCGAGGACTCGATGGGCCCAGCTCTGTTGATGAACTTTATTACATTCGAATGGGTGAAAATAACGGGGAATATTCGTTGTAGTTTTTCGAGTTCCAACTCGCGCAACGTTGCGTACGCGCGCCTCTCGATCAGGCATCGAGCAGAATCGATATCGCGCGCTAACTTCATCAACTGGTCGGAATTTCGCTTCCGCTTCAAAGCTCAATTTTTCCATCGAGTTTGTAATTTAACATCTACTTACGGACGCTTTGAACACGGACAGAATCGATCCCTTTTGATTCTATCCTCTGTGTTGGCTCGGTAATAATTTGTTCAAATAACAATGATGACAAACGACTGGCAGCAGTAAAGCTTTCGATCTGTTTGCCTTCTTTTCTTATCTTATCTTTCTTTCTTAATCTTCCGCGATGGAATTCGACTATGCTACCCTATGGACGATATAAGGTTATCGGGTAATAATGGAGATCATTTCGATCATTACACACCCTTTCCGTTAATAAATAAATCTTGATTTTGATTTAACAAAAGCACCGGATTAATTTATACCGCTTAATACTGGTATGCCGGTCCTGTCTAAAGCTCGATTCTGCTCGGATTTGTTGTATCTTTATTTTTCTGGAGGTCCTCTTTCAGCCCTCAAGCAAGAAATTGTCCGTTCGCTATCTATTTGAGACGCGAAGTAAGAGCTCAATTTCCATATAAATGAGATTCATCGTAGCCCTCCGGAACGTTGGTAAATCAAAGTCGAAAGCAGATGTAAGAAATCCCGCTTCCGGATAACGCGCGTTTCCGCACATCACTGCTGTGTGCGTTTGCAAAAAGTCGCGCGGAAGCGCCGTCTCGCGCCCTCCCTTCGGAGGTTCTCGCGGATTTTTCGATGCTCACCTCCTCCCTTCGAGAGACGCGCCCGAGGCACATCCGTTTAGCGAACGACAAATAATTAATCGAGATCGTTGCAGCGCCGCTTCGAAGCTGAAGAGCTGACGTTCGCTCCATCGGACGAAATCTCGATGTGTATGAGAGACTCTCCTAAAATCGAATAAAATTTCATCGACGAAAGAGTCGCTCCTCCTCATCGTCGTCTCATCGGCGTCACTCAGACGATGAAGCGCTCAACGTTCAGAGATGAGGGGAGCAGATCCGACGGCGGATACTGCGATAGAAATTTTCCCGGATTTTCCCGTACCGAGTATAGATTCCGATTTCAATTAGAACACACGGGAAAAAAAGTATTCGATTCGAGGAAATAATTACGCCGGTGCTCATTGGCACATTTTTACCTGGATACGGTAATATTTACTTGACCCGAGTAAAATAGAATCGTTTGAATCATTGACAGTTCTAACCAGGACCTGCGTAGATTTCCCAACCGAAGCCCGTAATTATTTCGACGAATCGTACTGAGATCCCGATTAGATCCCGGGAAATTTTCCACGCGGGTTTATGCAACCGCTTCGCTCGCGGTAAAACGAAATGAAAGAAGAGAGAGATACATACATATAGAGAGAGAGAGAGAGAGAAGTGTTAGCGCCGTTAATGAGTCGGGAAGATTCCGCGGAGTTTTACTTTTACGACCAGTCGGATCCCGCCGACCGATCCGGGACGGCGGCAAATTGCGCGTATTCAGGAAGGATCCTAGAGCCGCGGCGACCCGAAATTCCGTTGACCGTATAGAGATCGCCGCCGTCGCCATTGCATGTGTAAAGGACCTGCAGAAGTGTTTATCGCGACTAATGGTTCCGGCGCGCGATGAATCCCGCGGGATTACGTGCCCGCATTAAAGTTACCATTTAACTTGCTGCCGCCGCCGGAACACGTTTCTCACCTCCATTAATCTGCCCCCCCCCCCTCATCCTTCGTCGTTCTTCCCCCTTCACTCGTTCTTTCTCTCTCACTCTCTCTCGATGACTCCGCGACGTCCCGGCGCGTCCCGTCGCGCTATCGTTATTATCGTACGCGGCTATTATCGTTGTTATCGCGGCTATCATCGTCCTCCCCACCTTCCCCCCTCATTGCCTCGTCCACGTACACTTTACCGTCGTAGGACGGAGCTGGAAAATGAGAAAAACGGGACTCTCGTCGTTAACGGAGCAGAGTTAATGCAGTTTCGAAGGACCCATTATACCGTGTCCTCCTCCTCCTCGAGACAAATGAGATTCTCGTCGTCGGTGGGATTTTTATTTATGATTAACAGCGTCGTCGCGCGCACGAGTTTGGAAATTTTGATACTCCGCGCTTCACCTCGGCGAAATCGGATTTCGACGAGCCAGCAGGAGAAATGCTGAGGAAATACGACGGCGGGTTGTACGGGCTATTGTTCCCCTTTGTCGCTACAAACGGTCACTTATCGCCACCTTGTTCGTATTGAAGCTTATGAAGAGAGCCACTCGTGTCTTTTATGGCCGAGGAAGCGCGTCGCACTTCGGGCGGGATTTCACGGTGAGGTCCGACCGGATTCGACTCGAAACCAATTCCCGAGCCTTCGCTCGCTTTATCTTTCTCTCTCTCCCTCTCGTGGCAATTAAAATCTTAGCAGTGTGTTACAATGGCTGAAGGGAACAGACGCGTGCGCGCGAGAATAGCGGTGCTCCTCCGGTTCTCCCTTGAATTCCTTCCCGCATCCGTCTCTCTCGACGCCACGGAGGACATTATTATTGAAATTTTTCAGTTCAAATGCTGCGGCGCCTTGAGATTCGAGGACTGGCTCGTGAGCGAGTGGCACAAAGACGAGGGGGTCCTTAAGAACGGCAGTGTCGTACCTGACAGCTGCTGCAAGACGCCGACGTTACTCTGCGGGAAAAGGGATCATCCCTCCAATATTCAATACACGGTACGTCTCTCGAAGCTCCTCACGAGCTTCTTCCGGCTTTCCCGGCCTGATTATCGGGCGCGATATTAACTCAGATTGTACGCCGATTCGATCCACCTGCATCTGGAGTTAATCCGGAGACAGAAAGAGAGAAACGTAATCTGGAGAAGATATTTGTCAACTATGCGCGTATAACAAGAGTTCATGTAACGGTGCATACATGTTTGTATTGTCGCTATTCGATACGATTGAGTTGCTGATTTTATTTATTTATTTTTTTTTTTTGAAACGTCACGATACAAAAATGTGTAGATACGATGCGCCCGAGAATGAAAATGCCTTAACTAGAAGTCGAAGACCTCGTTGGAACAATCTTTCTTTTTCAGCAAATTTTTTTTTTTTATTGAAATAAATGAAGAACATAACGAGCAACAAGAGCTGTGCTTATCTTGCTTGTTTTAACAATATTGTAATTACGATATCCACACAAAGCCATCTATACGCGGTTGAAGTAACCATTATCCGTTGTCAATAATATCGACGAGATAAGAGTAAAGATTATTAGCAGCTTTCCGTATGTTCCTTGTGAAATGATAATAACTTATTTATCAACAGTCGGTTACACACCTTGTGATTCTATTTAAATTTAAATTCCATTTGAATTTGAATTTGAATTAAATTTCAGTTTTTACTTAAGTGTCAAGTTTTAGTTTCATCTAAATTTCCATTTTATTTAAATTATATAACAATTTTATAGTCGAGCGAGTTGGCACGCGCAGAATAGAATAGCGAAAGCCGCAAGAAGCCAATCAGGTTGGTACCTGGAGCGCAAAGGATGCGTTAAACACGGCGTATCACCGTGAGACGCAACGTCGCCGCGACGTAATCGCGCACTCTCACCGGGATTTACGAGAGAGTCTCTTCTTTTAACTTAAATTAGAATAGTTTAGCTGCGTTCCGAGCGGATAATGGCGAGTCAGAAAGCGAGCTGCGAAGGGGGAGGACCCTGTCGATAAATCTAAATCGCTTCACCTTCTTCCTCAGGGCTGCATATACAAGTTCCTGGAGACGACGAAGGACCACCTGATCATTCTGGGCGCCGTTGGCCTCGGTCTGTCCGTCCTCGAGCTCTTCGGCATCGTTCTCGGCTCCTGCCTCTACATTAAGCTCAGGCACGACTTCGACGACTGAGAATTGCTTCAATGCCGCGAGGGCAACAACAACGGCCAGTCGTGGTGCAGGTACATGCAGAACAACTCGGGGACCGTTTGATCGTCGGAGTAGAGGCGGGAGGACGCGCAATCGCAGCCGCAGGACCATTCGGATAAAAGGGATCCACCTGTAGCTGCGGACTCTCTTTTGCGACTCCCGCCTCCTCCTCCTTCTTCTCGTCCTTCTCCTTCTCGTACTTCCGGAGGAGTATCGAAGAGCGGAAACGTTGTTGCTAGCGAAGAGGAAACGCCGCTGTTTTCGCCGGCTCTGTCTGCCTCTCCTCCCGCGCTCGAGACGAATAGCCGAGGGAAGCAGCGAAGGATCGAGGACGAAGGAACGTAAAAATCGATTCGGATATCCATAGATCGCGAAACGAAGGACCGAATGCGCTCCTGCGTGCGCCGAACGCTTGTGCATCGGCGCGGTTCGAGATTCGCGCATCGACCTCGATATGGCATCGATACCTTCGAGGACGGTGTTATTACGAGATATATATGTGCACCCAGATGGCAGACGGTGGATCCTCTTAAAGCAATCTTGAAGTTTCCTCCTTTCCTGAGTTGGAACTTTTATTACCAATATGTACGTAACGCTCAAGTAATGGCTAGTTAATGATTAAATTGGAAATATTAATATTGATGTAGCGTTACTACTTGGTGTTTACTGGACGGTCTTCTTCCACACGAGTAAAACAATTAAACAAATTCTTCGAACACGTTTAGTTTTCACTTTCGCAAGAAAGGAAAGAGTCCCAAATTAATTAAGGGCCGTACAGAATTGACAAGGGAATCACACTCCGAATCTCGAAGTTGCGATGAACTTTTGGAGAATGCTTCAAGAATTCCTCAGATATTCGCTTCTCCAATTCTTCGGGTATCCTTCGAAGCGAATCCTTCACCTGAACTTCCGCTCACCTGAGCTATCCGGGTGCATATACGCGACGAAAACGGAAAATCTTTGAAATGTGTCTTACGACGTCGATCACGGCTAAGCCGTAAATCGCTTATAATTCTCGCTGTCGAGATGGCGTTCGACTATTTCCCCCCTCGGACGAGCGAATTCGCGATCCTTTCCGTCACACAATCCCCGTCGTCAATCGTGACGTNGTTAAGCCCCCCCCCCCCCCAATCTTCACCGCCGAACGTAATAATCTAACAAACTCTCGGAGTAATCTCGCACCGCGCGAAAGCGCCGAAAACTCCACCCGATACTGCCATTACGAATTTGCACATTTTTAATCGCTATGTACGAAGTACCGATACCAGTGAACAAAGAACCATGACGAGAGAGAAAGGGAGAGGGAATTTGTTGTCGCGTGACTTCTCCTAATGTAACGAAACGTAGATCTGACCGATCGAGCGGCGTCGATTTTCTCGGATTTCGCCGGCGGATCGCGCGCCATCGAGTTTAGTTGAGAACCTGCCATCAGCGATGTGAGATAAAAGAAATGAAGCGGATAAACTCGATGACGGATTGGCGATTCGAAGGCGTACCGAAGGCGGACGTCTAAAAAGTCGACTCTGACCTCGGAGAACTGTTAACAGTGCCTTGATGATATTGTTAAGCCCAGAGATATTTTAGAGTACGCGGAGGACAAACGGAAAAAAGGAAGGGGAAAAAACGGAAAAAAAAAAAGAAGATATACACACATATATATACATAAAGAGAAAACGTCATGGGACGGTGTAAAAATCGCGAGGAGAGGAAATCAAGACGGAGAAAATGAGGACGGACTTTGGCGCGTTGGAAATTTTGCGCGCGCGCGCGCGGCATGTATATATTTATCCGTTGCTTCGCAAACGAGTACAAGCCTTTTCGCACATTATTTATATAACGAACGCTTCCTTTCTTTATACAATGAGGACGCGCGCCGCCTCGAATCGGCAATTGCGAGCTACGAAAGGAAAGAAGAAAAAGAAGAGAAACAACGAAAGAGGGAGAAACGGAAGCGAAAGTCGTAACGTAAACTCCGATCGACGTCGAATTTCGGCCGTTGCGATAATTTTGTATTTTTTCAACCGACGGACGGCGCGTCGTCGTCGTCGGGAAGTTACGGTTGCTCTTTGCAATTGCGGATTCCGTCGTGCGCCCGAGAAAGTTTCCCGGACATATTTTACTACCATACCAACGCCGTCGCATATTATTTCCCCCTTAACATTATTGTCCCCTTTGCTATATATTATGTATACATATATATACATATATATACATATACATATATATATATATTATATATTGTATCGATTAGCGTCTAGCCAGACTTTATACATATTGTACATATCAAACGCTATTCTGTTACGAATAAATGTTTAAATCGTACCTTCACGTCCAATCCTCCCTCCGTGTATCCCAATTCCGGGGACACACCACCGGCGAACTCTTTCGAATCCGGGACGCAATTAGTGGTATGAAATGTCACTTCGTCGCTCGACAATCTTCTCCGTTCCTCAATCGTCACCTGGGAGACGACTGCGTGTCGCTCGCGTATTTCTCCATCGACTCGAGATGCATCAGTAGCATGTTGTCGCGCGTCCCGAGAGCGACGAAGAACCAGGCGAACACCGCGAGGAGATTCTTTGACAACGTAACCTTCTGCCAGCCGTCTAATTCGTCCAGAAAGGTTTCCAGCGTCGTGCTCTGAAAAGTGATCGAAAGCGTATCTCAATGCTCTCCTCAGGGTGACCAGATGAATACGAGCGCGCGTGTTAGTTGGCCAATTATCGTCACACAGAGGAGAATCTCAATTGTAATGAATTAGGCGCCGGGCTGAGATAACTCTGTCAAGCCGGAAATCTGTTTCTCTCTTCTTCGCTTTTTGTTTTTTAAGATTTTCAATATTTCAACGTTTTGTGTACACTCGAAGTTTCAGAAAGAGCCTTATTGCGGAAAGAGATTCGATTAGTGAAACGATAATTGACGCCACTTGTGAAGTGTGTTCCTTACGTTCGACCATATGGTCTCGTTGATATCGCAATAGCGCGCTACGGCCAACCGATCGTCTGTCCTCGACGACGCCTGATGGAGACCGAACGTCACCAGGTAAAGCGGAACGGCGATCGCGGATCTCGCGTGATCCGTGTAAATTTCACGCAGATGATCCGTGTCGAGCCGCGTCAGATCGAATCTGGAAACGAGGTGTCCCTCTTTGAGATCAAATCCCGTTGAGTCCCGTCGGGCACACACATTCGTATCTGTTTAAAATCGTCGGGCGTACTTGTCGAAAACAGATATGACGCAGAGGGCGATCAAGAAGGAGAACACATTGGTGTACACCTCGGAAAAGACCGAATAACTGGACACGAAATCCATCGAAGTGCTGAAGAAGACGCGCAACTGCAACATGATGACAGCTCGTTATTCCCAAAATTGTCTTGTATTTATTTATAGTAATCTTATATATTTATTTATCACGTTATCGTGATTCTTTACTTATATTTTTCATATTCACATTTTATACCGCACACAAGGTGTAACATTTTTCTATTATATTTCCATTCATATTGTTTCTTTCGTTACTCCATCACTTCGAAAACAAACAGAACTTAACCGCTCGTTGAGAAGAAGGCGCGCTCACCATTACGAAATGCAGAAGCGCCATTCCGCCCAAGAGGCCCTGAAAGACAAGTCCTGTAGATTTCCAGATTTTCTGGACGGTAATCGCCACTCTTATCAACGTGTGCGTTCGCGTCCTTGCGAAATCGCGCTCTTTCCCACTCGCCGCTTCGTCTTTTGCCGCCCCACGTGCCGTATCATTTCCCAAGGCACGTCTCAACCCACCAATTTTCACGGCGCTAAAGCCATTCTTGCCTTGAATATAAATCGTATCCGTAGTCAATTCCGGAAGCGGCACGGGCTCCTCGTATTTGGCGCGCGCGTTTTCCTCAGCCTTCTTCAGGATCTCCGTGATGGGCACCTCGTCGTCCGCTTGCGTGGAAAGTCAAATCGTCAATTAAAAACATGTTTCCTGAAATTTCAATTCTCGATTGATAAGCAGAGAAATAATAAAAAAAAATAAATCAATAAATAAATAAATTCAAGACATTATCGAGATAAAAATGGAAATAAAATATCTCATTATTAGAATTGTTAAATATATATATATA